AGATATGGTCAGAAATTCCTCCCTAAATGTCACCCAACGAACAGAAATACCATATCATTCAGTGCGTAAACGTCTGGCGCCCCTACTCGATCCCCTGTGCTGAACATCAGGCGCTTCTGCACATAGCGGACGTAAAAATCGGGTTCAATGGGTCCACTGCCTCCCAAATCAAAGCTGTCGTCAAAGCTACAACCAGGGACCAATTCCGAGGAAAATGGCCACAAAGGAGGCTATAACGGGTGAGCAGTGCTTGAAATTCACAATGATTTGAGGATCCTCTCCCTTTCCATCGTGACCCAGGCTTATCCCAGAGACAGCTTCGCTGCGGAGGATAGGCGTGTTAACGGGGATGGGTCAGCCCGTTTTTTCGTTCTCTCGGCTAGCGACAAGACTGCATTATTCGTTCGTTCAGTCGTTTTTTCACCGGTAGCTACCGTTTACCCTTCAAGAACGGTGGAGAACGGGTTGGCGGCGCGTCATTAACAGCCTCGCTGACACGCCCCTTCGTCCGCAGCGAACGAGACCGTAACTCAACTGCGAGATGTTACTTTTACGCATTTGCTTTGCTGGTCTCATTGCATTTCTCTAAAATCTTTCTTCAAAGAGAGTATCAGATTTAGCGTTTACCTCAGCCCGGCCTACTCCAAATTCGACATCATCCTCGTACACGTTCCGCTCCTTGCCGCATTTTTTACAGGATTCTGTCATAGAGGGCGAGCGGTCCTCCTCCGTCATCAGTGGCAGTCTACAGATGCATTCACCACCGAATCGTCGTCTACGCAATACATCTGAAGGTAACATGAACTTATTGTGAGCAGAATTTTGTATTATAAATCAAAAAGCTTTTTTCTATGATCACAAATGTGTGCCGATGACCTCGCAGAAACTCGATGAATCGCTGTCACGTGCGCGACATTCGCACCAGGACTTGATTAGTTTAAAATATAACTGCATGAAATGAATGTGTGCAATCTGCTGCTCTAGTAGCTGAAACAATTCTGCTGCTTTCTGCGTACCTCCGCAACGCCGATCTTACAGATGGTAATAAGGTGGTTTACCCTCAATGAGTACCCTACTGTACCCCACAG